CTACATGTATAAAAGGGGAGTTGTAGAAATGCTACGGATACTTTGATGACGGCGCAGAGATACAACTATTCGTGCTTGATGGATGGCAGTGTTGCATCTGCAAAATTGAAGGCTCGATGGCTTAAAGCGTAAACTCGCAATGCTCCACCGTATGCTGCCAATGAGGCGTCATTCAGATTTGGCGGGAAAGTTAAAATTGGGATCCGAATACGTCTCTCCTATCTTCGGCTTCAAATTTGTCCTTTTTTTCAATTTGAGGTCTGATTCTTTTCTAGGATGTATTTTTACCTAAAACACGTATGCTCCGGCCTCCTAACTCCTCAGAAAGAGATAGCTGGGTCTGGATGGATGGACCCAGCTTGGAAATTCCAGGGGTAGTTGTCAAAAATAATTCCCGGATACTCGATTTTATTCTTTTCTTCAATTTAATGTCTGAAACTCTTTTAAATGATAATGTTTTTGTGGACTTTCATCGATCGTTTGTATGTACCAGCCACCTACAACCCGCAGGGTACGTGATTTTTTAAAATCTCAGGTCAATTGGACTCGGCTTGGGTATTTAAGAATCAACTTGAGGGATAGTAATAATTGATGCCAACTTCCACAAAAAACTCCCTTATTTTCACACTTGAATGAATACAGTGGGAATGCCTCACCCTCAAACGGTAACCACTGTCGCAGAGTTCAGGCCCCATTTATTCAGTTTCCAACCAAACGCGCAGAAATTCAATAGAGTAACGTTTCACACACACAACCTCCATCCCGCCCCCCTCTTGTCAAACCCCCCCCCCTTTACTCACGCTGAGCGGGAGGCGAGAGCAAGTGTCACCGCGTCACGGCGGTGGGCAGAAAAATTGAACAGTTCGCCTAATGGCGGCAACGAAATCAATTATTCCGGAATATTATACTCCGGAATATCACAGCCGCCACTACAAACGACCGGGGGAGGGCGGCGTATTAAACCCGGGGTCGGCGCATCTGGTCTGATTATTTCGAGCGGCGCGCGTTCAGGCGGAAATCGAGGAGGGGCGCCGAGAGTGACGTCATTTCCGGCGCCCTTATCGGGGCCCAGGGTATTTGTTGCATATGTACGCTCCGCGCCCCGACCGCTTGTCAATCGGCGAAATTACGGCAGATAACGTGCCTAACCCCTACTTAGGCAACCCGCACGGCGCGCGGCGGGCGGCGGGTTGCGTCGCCGCGCGGGCAGGCGAAACTTGGTAATTGAAAAATTATCTCCGTGCGCATCTTTATTTCGCGGTGATGTCTGGCTCAAGATCACTCGAAAAGTGCCTTATCTTGAATATGTTTTAGTCGCTAATTGCGAACCGTGGGGAGGGGGGGGGGAGGGAGTTCCTGCATCTGAGGCCCCATTTTATGACAGCCGTGGTTATTGTCGACGACCGCTCTTGCCATGTGGTGTTTTGGGTCTTGTTTCATAGAGGCTGTTTAATTCATTCATAAGCATTTGTACGGCTCGAAAAAAAATTGTGAGAAATATACCATTACGAAGACCTAGTAGTACCTTTCACGTCAAGAAATATCTGAATTATCCCTATACTGCCATAGATGGTTATTTAGTGACATATTAATGCCCAAAATTTTTTGTTACCGTTTTTTAGACAATTTTTAGACAATCTTTGAAAAATTTTAAAGACAAAGATTGCTTATTTTATTCATTTGTCTCTTTTTTGATCATCTTTAAACATTTTAAACTGTCATTTTTGTTCGGTGGGAGGAGAGCAAAGTTAAGAATTCATTTTTGTAAAGAAAGGGAAGGAGAAGAAGGCGGCAATTCTTAAAATTAGAACATTATTCCGACTGCTTTTTACAGAAAAAAAGAAGCTTCATAAGCCGACAGAGCACAGGGGAGAATTTCATGAGCCGCCTTGCGCCATCCGCGGCCGCACTATCCGCCTTTCATTATTATACTTCATCCAGCGTTGAGAGTTAACTAATTACTTCACACGACCATAGTGTAATTTTAAAAGTTAAAAGTTAAAAAAAAAAGAATTACACAATACATGAGTTTCTCCGCCAGGAAGCTCTCCCTTCAAAACATCGGTGTTCACCCGCCTGCCGGGAGAGCCGCGGCGTGTTGCCAGCGCTTAACGCGCACTGACGCCTACAAACCTAAGCGGATACTTCACGCATTGCGCAATGCTTGAAGTATCCCCTTAGGTTTGTAGGCGTCGGTGCGCGTTTCGAACTGGCAGCACTCCGCACCGCGCCGCGTCGCAGCGTGCCATAAACCTGCCCACAATTTCTAGGTCAGGGCGTTAAAATGTAAGCAATTTGACATCAAATTCGAAATTATAGCTGCTCCAAAAAACATCAGTTTAGAAACTTTCGTGATCTTTCAGTCATTATCGGACTTATGTCTTCCTATTCTCGAGTTTTGGACCATAGTGCGCCGCGGATGGTGGCGCTCATGAAATTCTCCCATGTTCTCAATCGCTCATGAGCTCTCTGGTTTTCTCTTACATAAAAAAAAATCTGGGTCCTATTTTCAAAATCTGATTAAAGCGGGCTCATTTAGGGACCTGTTGAAAACCGCAAAAATCATGGAACTCGGCCCGGTAGAGCGCTCAAACAAACTATGACAAAAAATTTACATTGTTTAAATGGAATAATTTGCAACTTTACCGCGTAATATAAAAAAACCTGGGTCATATTTTCAAAATCTAAATAAAGCGAACTCATCTAGAGACAATTGCCTGTCGATAGCCGCAAAAATCACGAAAATCGGCCCGGTAGAACGCTTGAACTATGCGTTACCAGATTTGAAAATTTAGGAGGTCTCGGAGCTTATAGCATAAAGATTGAAGAATAGGCCTTAATGACGTCACGATGCCTTCTTCTCTTTGCCAATTTGCTAGTGCTAAACCGTACCCTAATGGTATAGGCTACCAAAACCGAACCTTTTTGGCGCATCCCGATCTCAACTGAACAACCCTCGAGTATACGATAAAAACACCTGGAATAGAACTACCTCCTTAGGCGAGGTTGATTTCTCGAGGGAGCCGGCGAGAAGCAAAACGAAAGTGAAAACAGTTAGGAGGAAAGTGGGTTAGTGTGATGAACTTAATTGCTTTTTTCCGAAAGTTTTCCTTCCGTTCGATCGACGGTGCTAACTTCTACTTAACTCTTGACGTCTCGGCGGACCTCGTCAAGATGTTTCCAAGTAGATACGAATGAGGGGGGGGGGGTGTTTGGACTTCTCCAGAGATGAGTTCGATGGCTGAGCGGAAAGCATGCAGGATAATTACTCGAACCTTAACTCAGTCGCTTCTTTGGAATCTTCTGCACATGATCGATCTCGATTTTATCACGTAATGATAGAGAACATCTCTTTGAGTGCCTCAGAAAACTGATGCAACAATGCATCAGGGGTGACGAGGTACCAAGGGAGTGGAAGGAGTCTTGGATCAAGGCCATCTACAAAAAGAAGGGAAGGAAGGACGACTGTAACAACTACCGGGGGCTCTCAGTGACCGGGACAATAAGCAAAGTGTACGGGAAGATACTGAAAGCGAAGATCGAGGACGAATGGCAGGATCACGAAGCAGAGGAGCAGGCTGGTTTTAGAGCTGGCAGGTCTACGATAGATCACCTCTTTGTTATTGTCCAGGTCATTGAGAAGAAAATGGCCGTAGCTCA